AGGTGGAATACACAGTGCTGGAGTAGGTGTACCAGTTGGCCAAAATCCGGGTGGATACTGAGACTTTGACAGACACGGCCAAGGTTAGAAGGATTGCAAACACTATTTAGAGGTACCATACCTGAATCTGTGTCTGAGACTGAGGTGGCTGACTATATACTCCTGGAGTGGTTGCACCAGACTGTATTCCAGGCGAGCAATGCTGCCAGAGGTTGTGCACATTGTCTCTCTCACTTTCTGTGTCCATTTGCATGTGTAGTAGACAGACAGAAATTTTTTTCACCCTTTATTTCAGCATTTATACTGGTAGAGACCCTCTTGTCTCTTTTTGGAATGAACTACCAAATTTATTAAAGTTTTGATTAACTAAGTACATGAGTAATGGATCGACGAATGGACCCATTGATTGACCTCAATTTCATCAAGGGATGGGTTGAGTATCTATCTCTTTGGCTGCTCCTTTTTCGCTGCTGCAGGGCTCTCCCCAGTGTACTGCCCCAAAGAATTGAGAGCCCCTAGTGTCTGCAAGTGCTCGAACCCACTTGTTGGCACTTGCAAACGCGTCGGAGTTTGAAATAAAGAAATGTCTGACTACAACCCAACAAAAATCATGAGTAACGTGACATGGGCATTAAATGTCGATCTCTGCAAGTCCAGCTCTTCAATTTTGAGAGACTTGCATAACTCTTGGCATCTTAACTCTAAATTGCCGAAGCCCTTCTGCAAGTGTCTCTGCCAATTAATTGAAGTTGCCTAATATAAGTAAGATCACTGACTTATGTAATCAAGTGTTGAAGATCGAGAGCGCATATAATGACGCACTTGCTCTCATCACTCCTTGTCTCCAACCTTCACCATCTCTCTAAGTCGAATCCTCTGCCACTCACTCGTGCTGAGCCCCACAATGCCACCCAGCTACTACAATGTCCCCTCCCAGTTTCAACATAAAGTGTGAGCAGCCAGTCCACTTCATACTGACTTGCACAATAGTTGCTCATCCCTCTCGTCCCATTTTTACATTCGCCTTTCTTATGCATTCGCATTCGCACATCTGCATTGTTGACAAATGCTGCACAACTTCTTCAACGATTCACGTATGTCTTCCTGCTCTGCAGCGCAGGCAACAATCGACGAGCACACGCTCGCGACAATGTCTTTGTGCAACCACTCCCAAGGCGCAATCCTCTCTCCCACCCCGCGCGCACTTTCCTTCCCCACCCACCATTCCATGCTCGTCATCACCCTCGATGGTCCCACACCGCGTGCATTTACATTCCCCAGTGCCGTCCACGACTCCATTTCGAACGGAAGCAGTGGCCCACCACTCACCCTTCCTGAGCCGAGTCCGTCCACACCGTTCACTTCACTCTCTCCCTTCGAGCCGGTACGTCCCAGAGATACACATCTGCAGTCATCCACAACTAATACTCAGTTTACTGCACCTCCGACTGCGAGACGGAATTAGAGCATGCAACGCGCGCGCACAGACACGGCTTTACCTGCAGCTCAAATCAGCTCCTCCAACGCTCCGGATCTCAACCTTGGTGCACCACTCACATTCGCTGTACGCCGTTGCGGTGTGTCCATCTTTTCTCTCTTATTATGACTTGTTAATCACTCCAAACTCGTCTAACAGGTGCAGCCTCAGCCTCCACAAAACGCGCTCGTGAGGAGGAGTTTGCTGAGCAGAAGCGAGTGCTCGAGGCGCAGCGTCAGCAAGAAGCGGAGCTGTGACAGCAGAAGGAGTTGCGCATGATGTTTTCTTGTTGCGCATGATTCTTCACGATTGGTATGCGTACTCTTGGTCCTCATTGCTACCGATTATTAGAGCAGAAAACATGTAATCCTGGTAGAATTAAAATATAATGCAATACAGATATTATTCAAATATTATAAGATGGAGAAAGTAAGGAATATAAATTGAATACTTTGGATTATACATAAGTGCTTTATTGCATAGTATTTGCTTGATCATAGTTCTATAAAACAATAATACTAGTATAGTCTTATTATTTTGTGAGGTACATTATAAGCTCTTATGTATCTTAGCAAGATTTACAAGTCTAGTTAATCTTGACAAGTTTAATAATAGATTTTGTCTCTTATCAAACTTGTATTATCTTATATTCAGCTTGGAAAACCCCATAGGTACATTATAATCTCTTCGACAAATTTTGGAAAATTTATAAAATATACTTGATTATAAGCAAATACAAGCCAGAAGATTTTCTCGTGATGGAGAAGGAAGAGAATTTGAATGTAGAATATTTTGGTACAAACATTCTAACTCAAGCAGGCAGTGTTGTTACATTGTGAAATTGATCCTGCTAGATTGCTATGTTCATGCTTGGGCAAAGCCAATCAATGTATGTACTTTATTCTGAAAGTGGATGCAAACATGATGACGCTATTGTCAGAAAAAGTTCCGAGTCGGATCCGAAAACAACACCAAGCGGAAAACGTTATCCAGCTTGTTAGAATAACTGTTTGGCAAATATACATCGTTTCCGCCATCAAAACTTGTGACAACAACCAGATCAGCAGAATCCACTCCCATCCAGGCGAAGCCAACAGGACTAAGTCCGTGCTTGTCGGCACACGTGATTTGGAAGAGGGTCATTTTACGCTTTGCTTCATCATATGCATACGCGTCAATAGTAGGCAAGTTCTGTGCGTCTGGTACGTAAAAGCCAGTCTTCAGCACTGGTTTAGAGCCCATCTTGAGCCTCTCGCTATTCGTGCGATGAAAAGTATTCACTACAGGTGGGTCGGGGTTTCCCTGAAGAATCTGCAGGAAATTGCCTGCATGCCCAATACGAAGTACGCATGGTTGGAGGTTTGCAAAGTCTACTACCCAATGTGTATTGGCTGGTCCAGGTTGGTTCTTCCTCATCGTCATCATTGACCATTGGCCACCCTTTGGAAGAGTCAACAGGGCAAGTGTCTCTAAAAGCCTGCCAGCAACAGGCCTGGTTCTAGTGTGCAGAAGGAATAGGCTGCAAATCCTCCTGGCTTCTTGTTCCGTGTGCCTCATTAGAGCACCGACAACCAATTCTGCAAGCTTCTGTGTTGGAATTTTAACAGAAAAATTGGTACGCCCATCGTCCACAGGGAAAGCCATGAGCACTTTATGACTTAAGCCGATGTCAAAGTAGCCTGCGGTCGCTTGGGCAACACCAGTTTGAATATCGGCTAACTTCGCGTTGTTGATAACTTGCATGATCTCAACTTCGTATTCGTGTATCTCCCGAGCATATCTGAACGCATCACGAGCAATTGGTCCAAACAAGTCGAAAAACCGCTCCAAGCATTTCTCGCTGGCTTTTGCCACTGTAAATTGATAGACGCTCCTGAAAAAGCCATTACATTCTGTCATCATACTCTTTGATGGCAAAAGAGCAACTTACGTGACGACAAGCTCCCAGAGATGAAATGGATCCATCCACATAATTAAGATATCCATATCCTTCGAAAACGTGAGACGATCTCCACGTGGTGATGCTGCAACAAGCAGGACTCGAGGTGAAGTCCTGCAAGCTTTGATGAATTGTGTAGGTACTTCCTTGACGTCCTTATTGCTATCGACCAGGAACCAAGCGTCCCACGGTAGATCCCTCAGAACATGGCTTATATCCGTGAGTTTGAATACACCGTTTTCATGGAAAACAATAGAATGGACTCCATCGTAATGCAAGACAGTCGTCTTCTGTGCAATGAGGCGTAATGCTAGAACATAGAACAAGAACATGCTTTTGCCTAAATACTGTGATTAATACGGTGCAGGTGCAAAAACGGGCTCGACCTTACCGATACCAGGAGTTCCAGTGATAACAGCACCGGGTGACTTGGTAGCTTCGACCTTTTTGACGCTCAAGTCTACAAATGGGTTGAATGGGGGAAATTGATCTGGAAATTCGACTGCATGGTAACCAAAATCGTTGCCTCCACGTGCACTGAGTTTATGGAAAACTGCCCTGAGTATTTTTTCATATTCAGGTCTGATCACTATTGCTTTTGTTGCAAACTCGACTTCCAAGGCAAACGGTGGAGCTCCATCAACCCGCCAACTCAGAATTGTGACCTCCTTGGGTACTTCAGCTGACACACAATCTCTTTCGTCGCGAACAACTGTCTCGCAGAAGAAAACTGGCCTTGGTTTATCCGTCCAGACAGCATTATACAGGACGACTAAGGACTCCTCCATCGTTTTGTTACCTGCTGTAAGCACGACACCACCGTTTTTTGTGACCTGAGTCCGTGTCATAGTTTGCCTACGCTTCGGCATTGCGAATACGATGTTACTGTTGGGCAGTAATGGATAGCAGGGTAGGAGCGGAAACCTCCCAAAAGGGTTATCCGCGAGGTTAACCGCAAGTTGAGATAAGTAAGAGTCATCTGTTCGGTTAACCTCTGCGGCGAACAATGTGCTGCAGAGTATGTAATCAGTATATGTAATCACCTAATATAGTAAATTTACCAATTGTATGTGTACAAGTAAGATTGAATGAAGAAAAATGCCTTAATTAATTCAGAACAAGTCTCTATACAACTTTAAATAATTACTACATGTTATTCAGTAGTATAAAATGAGATATAAATACTATTACTGTTAAAGCAATGATAAATTGAATTATTATTACCAATCCATGTGTTATAACCCTTCAATTTCATCCTTCAGATTGATAGCCACTTACCTGACTCAGAACTTGTAATATACATTTAAAGACAGGATAGCTTTTCTTCTACTTTATCAGAGCTTAGAATGTTGACAGTTATAGTTTGTATACACTTTACACAAGCTAATATATTTATTATTTGTATTTTTATTAAATTTATTATATAAACTATATATTTGAAATTAGCTAAGTTATTGTTAGGAGTATCTTAGTTACTCTTCTGCAAATATGTAGTTAACTACACAGTTAACTGTTTATAACTAACTCAGAAGTTTCTACTCTTATGTAAGCTTAGTAGCTTACTACATGTGAAAATACTCTTTATAAGGAAGAAATATACTTTTTATAAGGAAAGTAACATGTACTTATATATAGTACAGAGTAAGGATTACTAATCAGTAATTATACTAGCCTTTTAGTATAATAGTTAATATTACTATACTAGTATTAATAAGATTATAAAGAGCTGGAATTTTAACAATTAGTTTAACTATAGTCAAAAACTTAAAGTTGACAACTTAACTAAATAATAACTCTGTTATTATTAAGAATACAAATAGTTTAATAAACAAAGGAGGATAGAAAGAAAGTATAAAGACTATAGTAGAAACTAGTATATTAAAAAGAGAGGCAACTCTAATAGTAGTAGAAACATATAATAATAATATACTACTAAGAGTAGACTGAATTAACAAATATAATGTAATCTTGTTAATACTAGTATAACAATATTAACTATTATATTAAAAGGCTAGTATAATTACTAATTAGTAATCTTTACTCTGTACTATATATAAGTATATGTTACTTTCTTTATAAAGAGTATATTTCTTCCTTATAAAGAGTATTTTTATATATAGTAAGTTATTAAGCTTACACTCTTTTATACTTTATAAACTTTAGTATAAGGTTTCCTTATATAGAGTCTTAAGAGTTACTGTTACTAGTAGAGTCTTAAGTTAGACTTGTTTAATATTACTAATTTACTTCTAGCAGGAATTAAACTACTAACCTTAATTAGTGATTATGTAATTTTGTCAATACTAGTATAGTAACATTAACTATTATACTAAAAGACTAGTATAATTACTAATTAGTAATCCTTACTCTGTACTATATATAAGTACATGTTATTTTCCTTATAAAGAGTATATTTTTTCCTTATAAAGAGTATTTTCACATATAATAAGTTACTAAGCTTATATATAAGCTAGTATTTAACTACTTTATAAGAGAAGTTAAAATAAAATATAGTAAAGTATATTTATTAAGAACTACTTACTTAAGACAAAAGATTAAAGTCCTTCAAGTAGAGAGTAAAGTAAAAGAAAACTTTACCTTTGTCAGAAGAATTAAAAAGAAGAAGAAAAGGAAAAATACAGTATAAAAACATACTCCTTATTATTAAAAGGATAATAACAGTTCTAATAGTAATAAAAACATTGTATTTTTTATATCTTTTACAATAGTTACTAACTAACAAATAGTAAGTAAAAGTTTAATTAAAGTAAAAGTAATAACTCTATTTAGTACAAGAACACTATTAAAAGAGTAGAGAGTAACTACTAGTATTCTACTACTAAAATCTATTCTTAATAGTACTTTAAGTAAACAAAAAGAGATAAATTATTTTCTTATAATAAAAGTAACTGATTTCTTACTAAAAAACTCTTAATTTACAAAGAACTTTATTATGAATAATAAGGAAAGTAAATTTACTATAGAAACATACAACAAATTAACAAAAGAAATAAAAAATAAACATAATCTAAATAATTTAATAGAAGAAATAACTAATAAACTTTGAGTAATATTAATATAACAAGTATTAGAAAATGTTACAGTTCTCTACTCTTACACCTTTAGTTCTAAAGGTTCTACACCCTTCTGTACTAGAACTCAGGACTTCTGTCCCTTAGAGGTGTTATTTATAAACTATATGTGTACTAACTCTTACTACTACTCTTCCTTACTTTATTATTCTGTTTCTTTAACTACTCCTTTATTCTTTGTTTATTTTATAGTCTCTTACCCTTTGTCTATCCCTTTATTCTTTATACCTTTATCTTTAACCTTCCTTTCTTTCATTCTTCATAGCTTATCATTCTTAATAGCTTATACTCTCTAAGTACTCTTATATAGTTTAGTATATATAAGTGTATAAGATTAGACTGGTTCTGTAGTCTTAATCTTGTCTACCCTAGGTAGTCCTGTACTCTTAGGTTTACTCTATATACTCTACTCTTGTCTTACTCTCTCTCTATGTCTGTTTCACAAGTTCCAACTATGTTCTAGTACTTACATTCTATATTTCTGTTATATAAAATAGTTGTAGTCTAGGTCCTCTTACTAAGCCTTTAGGTCCCCTCTACACTATTACTAATATTAGATTAAGACTCTCTATTACTACTTTACAACTCTCTTATGTTTTAAGTATTAGTACTTACTATTATGTTAATCTCTTTTCTTTATCCTAACCCTTTTACATTTTTAAATTTTAAACTTTCTAAACCCTTTTAAACTTTTGCCACCCTTCTTCTACTCATTACCCCTTTTAGTTTAGTGTCAATTCCTTTGTAGTATAAACATAAACCCTTTTATACTAACTATTACTCTTACTGTCCTACTAAATTAGTAGTTATAAGTAAACCTAGCTTAATATGTGTAAACCTCTATCTAAGAGGCCTTTACTAACTACATACTCTCAGCCCTCTCAGAACTTGTTCTAATTGTTCTAGAAGTTACAACCTGTTTTAGAAAGAAAGTATATATAGTCTACCCTTTAGACTTTAATAAGTAACACTTTAAGAACTTCTAGTACTAAGTTAAACTATATATAGTAGCTACTTTAACTAATCTATTCTCAAATCTTAATCATGTTCTATTTGTCCTCTCCTTTATAAAGGAAGGTAATACAGCCACCTAAGTCTAGAACTAGATTGAAAGATATTAGATCAGAAGCCTAATCTGACTTTAGAACAATAAGTTATATTTAGAATTTATAGAGTAACTCTGTACTTCTTTCATTAATCTGAATAAGAAGTGTAATGTGTAGAACAAGCTTGTATCTCTGTAACAGGGCAAACATTCTACTAATACCTTCTTTCAGGAGTTTAATATTTTAGTCTAGAAGGTAGGATTTGTACTTAGGTTTGATAACATTCTTATTAGAATACTTGAAAAAGCTCTTCACTTAGAACTAGTTAATAAGATTCTTAGAATGATACTAGAACTGATTACTTATACTGAGTAGAAGACATACACTATTTTCTTTAATCAAGCTACAGCTTGAATGTGTTAAGTCTATATAGAATGCTTGTACATGTGTCTGACTCTAACAGTTCTAAGCTCTCAAATTAATCTGCCTGTAATTTGTAATCAATCTGTTCTAATAAATATTAGAGAAGCCTAAAAGTAAGGAGTATACTTTGTCTACAGAAAGTTAGAGTACTAAATTAAGAACTGTCTATAGAAGTAATAGTATATCTGTTAGGTTATTAGAGTAATAATAAGTAACAAGCAGGATTTATAATAAGAAGCCTTTTTTACAAATCTGAAAGTTACTTTAGAACTCTTAGACTCTAACTATATACTCTAGAATTTTATAGAGGCTCAATAGTAAATGTAGTACTAAAGAGTTATGACTCAGATTTTTTAACAGTTACTTTTAATTTAATAGACACTGTAGGATTAAAAGTAAATAAAGTAAGAAAAGTAGAAAAAGTAGAAAAAGTAGAAAAAGTAAATTAATAAAATTATTTATTAAAAAGAAAAAAGCTGAAAACAGAAGTAGATAGTTCTCTTATTTCTTCTGATTCTTTTGATTCTTCTCTTTGTACTTTATCTGAGTCTAAATCTGTACAATCTAACCTGTTACTTTTACATTCTAAGATCTTAGAACATTTAGAATACTATCTAGCTCTGTTTACTACTCAGTAGTTTGTCTATAGTATTAAGTAGGGATAGTCTCAGCTGAGTTTATAACTGAGAACATAGGTCCATCCTTGTTGAAAGAGAGAGGTTAATAAGGAAATGTTAGTGTATATACTTACTCTCTTAGATAACAAGACTGTACAAGCTATACATTCTCTTTAGAACAAGTAGTAATTTATTAGAGAACACTCTAGACACTAGCTCTAGATCCCTGTCCTCTTAGCTCCCTTCTTAGAATCCTCTCAGATCTAAACAATAGTTCTAGTAGATAGTAAATACACTAGTTTGTG